GATCTGCTGCGGCAGGCCATGGAGGCAGTGTGTGGTCCTGCGGGCGGGCAGGGCAGGGGGTGAGCAGGGGCGGAGCAGGCAGGACGGGAGGCGGAGCGGGGGCAGGGGCAGGTTTTGGGCACTCGGTCTCTAAAAGGTTCGCCATCACTGACCTAGACACACAAAAACTTCATTAACAAGTTATTTCCTTCCCTGGGTGATAGGATTAATCAATCCTGCTGACAGAAAAAAAACCAAACTAGGAAATTAAGAAGAACAAACTTCTTACAAATCTCATCAAAACTTAAAATAGGAAAAAGAGTATAAATTGTACCATGCATTTAGATAATTTTTACTAGCTAGTCCAGAAGTCATTGCTGAATCACTTCTCTGTCTGGCTTCTGTAATAATATCCACTTTCTGGCAGCTTGCTTCGCTCAGTGTCAATTTTTTTTTCTTCGTCCCCGCTGAAGGCTTACTCCCAGCTGGAGGAACGAACCTGAGAAATTTCTTTTCACAGAAGAAAATACGTTGTTGTGGGCTTCCGGTTCTGGATCGCGGCATCTACAGCCTTGCGAAGAGACTGGTCTCTTCGCCGGCTGATTCTCTGCTGCCAGTAGACCCTTAATTGGGTCGAAAAGCCGCCCTGGAGGGGCGGCTACCGTTGAGGAGGCCCTCGTTGACTGTGGGAGAGCGGCAGCTTCTTCCACGGTCTGAGATTGCTCCTTAGGGCCGACGGTGGAAAGATCTGCCAGTAAAATGGCTGATCACTTTGCTGCTGTAACCAGAAGTCAGAAGAACATCTAAGTGCAAGCCCCCCTCTCTTGGTTCTCCTTTTTCCCCCTCTCTTGGTTCTCCTTTCTTTTTTTGCTGTCTGTAAAAAGCATCTCTGAAATTATTTCCCTGCTCTAAGAAAGCGGCGTTTGTGAGTGTGGGAAAAGAAGCTTAAATGGACTGAATTAACTTAAACTGACTTTTCTTTATTTTTATTTTTTTTATTCACTTTGGGGTCTTGGAAAAACTTTTAATATTGAATTTACTACTGGACCTAGTCTACATGTGAAGAATTTTCTCTTTTTTGTTTTTTCTGATCTTGTTAACGTCATTCCTGGTGTCTGGGAGGAGATTTTTATAGTCTACTGAGGACATCTTGTGGAGAAAGTCAAAATTGCAACTGTCTTTTTCTCTGATGGTGAGATTGACTTTGACTTTCAGATTACCATAAAAGGGAAAAGACAAAGAAACCTAACAGCTGTATTTGTGGGGGTGGATATTGACTAAATGTTTTTTGAATACAGCCTTTACTAAAAGATAACAAACTGTTTCTAATCATTATTGAAATGGAGAAACCCTATTTACAACTTGACTACAAACTCATATTGGAAAAAATATATGAAGCCACTGAGCAAATATGTTTGCAAATAAAAGAGTATACTATAGTAGTAAAAAGCAGAAATTCTGCTTTGAACCTACAAACTGACCTCCAGATTCTATCTGAGCATTCTACAGACCAAAAAACAATAGAAGCGGAACCGACCGATATTAAAGAAGATTCTACTTTACTTCATACGCAATCTAATGAAATTTCTGAGGAACAAAAAAGGACTGTAATTAAACCACTCATAATTTCAAAACCAACAGAAATGGATATAACAAGATCAACTAATCGAGAACTATGATAGCTTGGATAAGCATCTATCAACTACAAAGTTGGACATAACCGAGTCTGCTATTCAACAGATCCAAATGTTGAGACTTGAATCTTTAAAACAAGGGACTATTTACAAAGGAGTTATGTCTCTAAAACAGAAAAGGGGACGCTTTTGCTTGACCCAAATGATACTACAAGGCACAAAAAGAGACTTGTTCATTGATATAAAGGCGTTGCTATGGAAACTTGCCTGGCACAAAAAGAAATCTAGAATAAGATTTAAGAGTGTGATCCAAGGCTCTACATAACGGGTTTAAAAGGCTTATTAGATATGGATTGATTTATGGTTTAAGATAGTTAAATAAGATGTTGGATTGAACAAAAATTAATTAAAGATTTGAATTTAATAAGATGTTTGTTTGTGTATTAACATGTTTGTTGTGGATATAGTAATTTTGGGAGGGGGTTAAAGGAGTTTGATATAGATATTGAGGGATTGATAGATCATAAAGTATAATAGAATAGAAAGGTATTTTTTATTATTATTATTATTATTATTTTCTTTTTTGAACTAATATTCTTGTTATTAGAAATGATAGTTATTTTGTAATGAAAGAAGAATAAGAAAAAAGAAGAAATGATATTAATAAATGATTATTCATTATGTTAAGGAAAAAGGGAATGGAGAGACACTTGAAGTGTTAATTACGTATTTATAACAGCAAAGTGGAATATAACAATTGAAATAGTAAAGCTTAAACACAGGATTTGGATTTATTTAGATGAAATGTTATTGATGATTGTTTTGATTGACATAGTTGTATTGGAATACATTAATTTGAATATAATATATTATCTGAGGGAATAGAGAGGGGGTTTCTAACGATTTAATTTGAATTATATAAGTATGACTTTGCTTTCGGATAATTGATTACCCTGCCACCACGTTGATTCTTAAGCACTTGTTTGTAAAAAGAAAAAATTAATAAAACTTGTTTAAAAAGAAAAGAAAATACGTTGTTGTGTTGTGTCTTTTTAAATTTATTTTTAGCCTATTTTTCCTCTTAAGTCTGAGTCATTTACTGTTCCTTTGTTCTCCATTAATGAAATGCACATTCTCTTTTTTTTTCTATTTCTGCTGCTTTTTCTGCAGCTGCAGGAATTGTATCCAGGGAGGAAATAAAATGCTTGCTCATGTTATTTGTCCTATAACTGACATGATGCATTGTGTTTGTGTAAGAGGTTTGGGGCTGTATTCTTAAATATTGGCCAGATGCATTGAAGAATGAAGCTGCCGGAGAGCCTTAACATGCCTGACATGTAAAAACAAAACAAAACAAAAGTTTTTGTAGAGGCTGAGTTTCAAATGAGCCATATTTTGCATAGCCCCAAGGCTATGAAAAGATGATTTGGTGGGTGGATTTAATTATCTTTCTTCCCGGCGCTGATCCTGATGCTTCTGCTGAGCCCTGACAGTTCTATAGAAGGAAGGAAGGAAGGAAGGAAGGAAGGAAGGAAGGAAGGAAGGAAGGAAGGAAGGAAGGAAGGAAGGAAGGAAGGAAGGAAGGAAGGAAGGAAGGAAGATGGGAATGAGAAGGAGGGAGGGAAAAAGGAAGGAAGGACATCCCCCCCCGATGGTAACCGCAATGCTAATGCGGCCCTCAATGAAATTGAGTTTGACACCCCTGATATAAAAGGTTGTTAAGTGGTTTCACCATTGACTTTGCTTGTCAGAAGGTTGCAAAAGGGGATCACATGACTCTGGGACACTGTGACCTTCATAAATATGAATCAGTTGTCAAGCATCCGAATGTAAATCATGTGATCCTGGGGACGCTGAAACAGTGATAAGTGTGAAAAATGGTCATAAGTCACTTTTTTCAGTGCTGTTGTAACTTCAAACAGTCACTAAGCCAACTGTTGTAAGTCGAGGACTACCTGTACTTTATCACTTTTTCCTTTTCTTTTTTGGGGGTCAAGTTTTTGACACTTGCTAGGCAACTGGTAGTACTCGGATATTGCCATATCCTAAAAATGAAAAGGTTGAAAAGCCCTGCTGTAAAGAATGGTTGCTGGAATTGGGTATGTCTAGTTTAATGAAGAGAAGGACGAGGGGGGACATGATAGCAGTGTTCCAATATCTAAGGGGCTACCACAAAGAAGAGGGAGTCAAGCCATTCTCCAAAGCACCTGAAGGCAGGACAGGAAGCAACGGATGGAAACTAATCAAGGAAAGAAGCAAGGTAGAACGAAGGAGAAATTTCCTGACAGTTAGAACAATTAATCAGTGGAACAACCTGCCTCCAGAAGTTATGAATGCTCCAACTGGAAGTTTTTAAGACATTGGACAACCATTTGTCTGAAACGATATAGGGCTTCCTGCCTGAGCAAGGGGTTGGAATAGAAGACCTTCAAAGTCTGTTCCAACTTTGTAATTCTGTTATACTTTAAACTGAAAATGGAAAGTACTTTATGTAAAGACATTTATATCGAAGTATTTATGCACTGTGCCATTAAAATCTTCATTTATTGCATAAATAATATTTACTATGAAAATATCATTGTTTATTTAATAGATTTTTGGATAAGAGATATTGAAACAGATCTGAAAGTCACTATTTTTAATTATCTTGTAGACAGATAAAATTACACATGGAAGGCCCTGTTTGTCACTGTCTTGTCTTATTCAAACTGCCCTTTACAAAAGTCTCCCAGGCTTTGGTTTTATCCCCTATCTGAATAAAAACTGCAGAATATTTGACACTAATCTATGTCTGTGAGATTTTTGAGATGAAGGGAGGAATTCTTTATCTCGCTTTCACTGGGAAAAAAATTCTCTATCCTCATGGAGTTAAGCCCATGTAAATGACAAAAGATGCATGAGTACTTTGCCAGTCAAATTTCTCAATTTTATTGAATTTCCTAAGATTACATAAAGTTTATGAAGCTTATTCAACCAATCTTTGCTAAAATGTCAGAAATAATATGCAAAAGAAACAAAATATAGTTTTCTGCTTTCAGATAAGACATGTAGGCAAAAAGTGAGTAGGAACTAAAAGTGGAAAATAGAAAAATGAATCACCGTTCCTTTATCCCACCTAAGTGAAATCAATCATAACCAATTCCTTTCTTTTGGATTCAAAACATGCAGATGATCAATCAAATAATCTATCAGTATGGCATTTATTTTGATCTGAAAATAAACTGAGCACTACTGAGCAATCATTAAAACATACAGAAAAAAATGTGGTTCTATACAGCATTATTCTTTTTATTATTACCCCATTTGCCTTCCTAGAATAATGGATTTTAAAAAGAGGGACAGAAAGACCAAACGATAAATATACCTGCGATAAGAAAGGAGCCTTACCCGGATATAAGCATCTTGTTGGTGTTTGGCAAAGTACAACATGTTGTCCAGGGCTAGCATTCCTGGGGGAGTCTGAGTAAAATCCATTGCTGGGTTTACATGATTCTGCAAAACATAGAAAGGTAACATTAAAGAAAAGAAAGACACAGCAATACATAAGTGTGGGGTTTTTTTTGGCATTCATTATGCAAAAAAAAACTTTTTATTTTTTATTTTTACTTCTCTATAAACAGAAACAAACCAATATTAGGGGCAGGAGAGATGTAACAATTTTATCTTATGTTTTTCTCATACTTATATCTGTTTCCTTTCTTTCAGTTCATGTGGTTAAACAAAAATGTGTTAGCTTACTCTGTACTTCTCTAATTGTCAAAAAAAATATTGATGATTTTAAAAGGCCAGCAACTAGTACAATCCTCACAGACTTAATATGGAATAGTTTATGAGATCGACAGAATTCTCTGCCATTACTTACTGGCAGGTAAAAGTTCCACCTATACTCAAATTAGGTCTCATTTCTCTTAGGGAGACTTGAGACTTGATAGACAACTACAGGTTTAGTTAACCTCCAAACCTGGTTCCAAGAGTTCCATGCCTCCCTGATTCATCTGGGAGGTGTGGAACTTTTATCAGGTAAAGCAGGGAGATGTTCCTGTAGAACACCTGATTCATGGAGGAGTATTACCCAATAAAACCCACAATGCTATCTTGCTTTATCATTGAATTTCCTTTCCACAGTTCAAACTCAGGGCCTGAAACCAAAGAATGCTCAACCAGATAGTACTATTTATTCACAAAGGATAGAAATAAGATCAATCCACCCAGCAGATAAGCCCTGAGAGTACCCAGCAAAAATCTCCATTTAAATTAAGCTATTCTCCATTTTCCAAAATAGTCAACTAATCAGCAAGTATAGTGGAGGTAGGAGAGGATATTAATGGATCTTCTGTTTTCTCATAAGTCCCCCTCTGCTACAGAGAAAAGTGAAGAATCTATTTTGAAATGTTGAAACATTGCACTTTTTCACAACAGTAGTACAGCAGAACTTTTAAAAGCCTAAGAAACCAGCAGCAGACAAAGAATTTTCTTCTCCACTGCCATGAATGTTTCTCTTGCCATCACATCTCCAGGCTGAAAGGAGAAGGTTCTTAACTCAGGGTCTCTGGTCATGTGGATCAGTTCTTCTGCCTCTTGTCCCTCCACTCTTCATGTCCACACTCATGAGTTCTAAGGGACTGAGTAACAGGAGACACAGGTTTAAAAGAAATGGACGTCCCCACTGCCCAACGCAGAAAAGCTCTAATCAGGAACCACCAGGGAGGGGTCATGACTGCAACAGCACAAATGATCTATTAAGAACTCAGCAGTCACTGGGAGTGTCATCACCAGTATAGTTGAGAAAACTACAGGTAACAGGTGCCATGAACTGTGACATAAAAGAGAGGGGGAAAAAACTGCTTCAACATTGGAATACCTGAAGACAAATATATGATGTCTCTGCAGTGATCTTGTGATGAGAAAAACTAATTTGATGAAGATTCATTAGTAGGGTGGAAGGGAAGGGTTACTGACAAGCTTCAAAATTTCATATTTGGTTTCAGCAGGTATTATTTCTTTGCTTGCCAATAGACACAGATGGGGAGGTATGACTGGAATTTGTAGTAGCTAGTGTGGGAGACAAGGTCATGCTAGAAGGTTGCTAGGAAACAGAGTTTTCTCATAACAATTATCTGGTGCTTAATTGGGGAATGTGACCTGCATTGTCAGGAGGGAAAGGGAGTTGCTATACTTTTAATATACTGCTTTAGCACTAATTTAATTAAAGCTGACTTGAAATCCATTAGTGCGGGTATGCTATTCTTAAATAAATCTGGCATTAGAGATCGCAATGTCTCAGGTGTGCTTGTTTTGCTGGAATCATCAGCCGGAACTATGACACTACGTTAGCTCTAATTAAAAATGAAAATCAATTAAGGGATCCTGAGCCCTTACACCCTATCCAGCCACCTCTGAAGGGGCTGTGAAGACTCAGGGGAAAATGTCTGAAAGGAGGAAGAGGAAAATTTCAGAACGGAAAGGACCGGTGGGCTGGAGGCATTTGACAAGAGGCAGCAGTCAGTCAGTCAAGCAGCCATGGAAGAGATTGTGCAACCTGGAAGTGCAGGGATGGGAGCCGGAATCAGATTCCCTGAACAAGGTCTAGCCAACTTGTGGCAGTCGCGCCGAACCTGTTGCCTTGATCCAACCCAAGGTCAGTGACTACTACAACCGGGGGGTTGGCCAGCCCCCAGAGGGACATTCCTCCTCATTCGGGTGCAAGCCTAGGGCTCAGAGCTGCTGGTCCTCAGCCAACAACCAGCCAACTGCCCAGAATGGCTGGCTAGCTGATGCTGCAACCGCAGATGCCAGCTACCCAGCCTGGGCCTTTCCCCTATGCAGGGGGATAGACTCCAGAGCCTTGGTCTCACCCAGAGCCCAGTAACCTCTACTGCTAAAAGTGACTTTGACGGAACCCCAGAGAAGCTGGCCTTCTTCCTGAACCAGGTGTGGTCATATCTGCAATGGTTTGGCCAGATGTATCCTGATGATGAGGCTTGCGTGGAGGTTATTGTTGTGAACCTTGAGGGAGAAGCCACGGAATGGGTGGTTACCCTACACCAGGGGTGTCAAACTGCCGGCCCGCTGGCTGGTTTCTTCATACCGGAGCCACACCCCCCCATTGCCGGCAATAGCAAAAAAGCTCCGATACGTTGTGCGACATCACGTGATGTCGCGAATTTGACATGTCTGCCCTACACGATGAGGGAGCTCCCGAGCTAAGGGATCCAAACGTGTTCCTGGGAGAGCTCAGAGCCCGATTCGACATCCCATACAAACCTGATGAGCTGAGGCTGAAGTCCGAACTGCCAGGCAGGGGAACAGACCCATAGCGGAATACATCAGAGAATTCAGGAAGATCGCAGGGAGGCTGCAGCATTGGCCAGAGCGACTCCTGACTCAGTACTTCCAAGAGGGGTTGAACAGTGACCTGTTCCACTTGTGACTAGCCCGAGGGATCGCAGACCAGCTCAACAACTGGTATCAACTGGTATCAACTGTGGAGCTAGATCAGATGGAGTGCAAGGGCTGCAAGAGATTCGAGCCACACCCAAAGAAAAGCCAAGAGAAGCACACACAAGGGAGAAAGCAGCTAGTGATGGCTTCTCTTGCCTCTGCTGAAGCTTTGAGTCATACCCTCATCCTGTGCTTCCACTGCAGCAAAGAGGGCCATCAGGCAGTGGTGTGCCCGGCACCAACACCTAGAGATGGCCCCACTGCTCCTCCCTGTCCGAAGCCTAAGAAGCCACCAAGGAGGGAGAAAGAGAAGTTGCAAGAGGCAGCCCAGATCAATGAGGTCTCCCCCTGAAAGCGATGGAGAGGGAACCCCCAATCAAATAGGAGCCACGAATGACCCTCTATGACAGCAGACAATGAGGGAGAAAATGGCCCAACAGTGAGTGGACCAGTCAATCATTTCGCACCTAAAGTGAACATTGCAGCACCCCGCTCAGGAGCAAAGGGGGTGGTGAAAGCACTTATATACTCAGATAGCACCCGATGCTTGATTAGCCAGCCCATGGTACAAAGTTAGGACTGCATGTGAGAATGGTTAGGAAGCCCGTGAAATTTGAAAGTTGATGACACTTTGGTGGAGGACAAGGCCACCTCCTATTTAGCTGATGCAACTGATGCAACTGATTTTGGGGGGCCACCAAGAGAATGTTCAATTTCTGATCTCCCCAAAAATGGCTGAAGAGATGATCTTAGAACTGGCTTGGCTTGTAAAATCATGGTTCTGACAGATGAAACTCTTCAAAGAACTTCGAGGCATTGTTTACCTTAAAGAATCTTTATTAGAGAAGCATAGCATCAGCACTAACATAATCAAAGCTAAAAACTGAATTTCCCTCCCCTGAGCACATCTCTTATTTCAAGCTCTGAATTCACACACTAGTACAATATTATTATGTCTAAATAACTCCCATCACATTCCTCTTCCTCCCCCAGCATCATCTAATTCTGAGAGTAAAGCATAAGAAAGAAAAAGGTTGCATCTTCATATGTTGTGAAAGCAAGAACATCCAATGTTAGCAGTGTTGACATCCGGCCCCCCTTACAAAAAGGACAGATCCTCTAGCGTAAACAAAAACATATGTTAGGGACTGTTTCTCAGTTTGTTAGGGTGTTTCTTATGGAACCTTTTGATGAGTCTGTCGGCTTTCATATTGCTAGATTTCACCCAAATGGCTTCAGACAGTGAGTATCCCTTCCAATGTACTAGGTACTGCAATTTCCCTTTAAAAATTCTAGAATCAAGATATGCTTTACTTCATAGTGAGTTTGACCCGCCACTATGAGGGGTCCAGGTACCTTCTTAGGGGGAGGTCTTAAAGTGGATTCTCGCAAAGATTTCAACAAGCTGCAAAGGAAGACATGGTGAATTCTCCCTAAAAGCCTAGAGAGTTTTAATTCTACTCTGACCGGGTTGAAGATTCTTATGATGGGGAAAGGCCCAAAGAATATATATTGACAGCAGTGAGAATAGCATTTGCTCAATATTGGAAAAATGATAATTTACCAACTGAAGAGATCCTAATTAAGAAAATTTTAGAATGTGCAGAAATGGACAGATTAACTTTAGAGATTAAAGAGAAAGAAGACTCAGTTTATTTCAAAACATGGGATAATTTTTACCAATGGTTAGCAAAACGAACTAGTGAGAAATGAATGTGATATTTATCGTGAATATATACTAGTAAGATGAATGATATGTATTGACTAACTGATACTGTTTATGATTATCATTTCTCATATTCATTATAGCTATTTACTATTATATTAATTAGTGTTACTGAACATATGTTACCTGGACAATAGTCTGTTTGCTAAAGCTTGAAAATGTTAATGGGGCAACCCCATTGTTGTTCCCATCCCTCTCATAATCCTAACCCTGATCCCCACCCCGAACCCAACTCCCATATTGACCTCACCCCTTCCCCAACCTTATAAAACTTAATAAAGCTTTATTTTAAAAAAAGACGGAGGGCTTCTGGCAAGTACAATTT